GATTTAGGGAGAATCAAGCTCTGAATAGCAAAGTAAAATATACAATAAGAAATAAAGAGAGGCAAAATGGTCTCAAATTGTTTCTCTATCAGATGGTTTAAGGCAGAGGCTCTTTACAATAAGCTAAAACATTTATCATATGTCAGAGGCTTTCCACGAAGGTGCTACATAAAGCGAACATTAGCATTTCAAAATGAGAACATTATCTGGCAGGCGAGAGAGGAGAAGGGGAAGTGTGTGGAAGGTCTCTGAGCAGATGCCAAAGCACAGGCCTCGACTTAAAGTAGAGAGACCCTGAATGCAGGGGAAGGAAGGATCTGACGCTGTGCAGAAAAATCCCCCAAGAACTTGCCAGAATGAGAAAAAAATTCAGAAACACAATTATTTCAATTTAACCTTGTTTTGTTTCCTTCCCTCTCTTTTCAAGGAATAGTTAAAATATTACCAATGAATTTAGAGTAGGTGATCTGTATTCTACAAGACGTCTATAAATCAGATTTTCATGCTTTGTCTTTTTGGTTATTTGTGAAATGTGATGAGCTCTCTGGTGTAGGAGCTGCCCTTTTATTTTATCATCGAGATCCTGAGGGCCTTAGACAAGCATACAACTTTACAATGGCACTGAGTTGTCTGCACAAGAAGACCAGGCCAGGACAAGGCCAGTACAGAGCAACGTCAGTCCAGGGCAAGGCCAGGCCAGGGCAAGGCCAGCACAGAGCAAGGTCAGCACAGAGCAGGGCCAGCACAGAGCAAGGTCAGTCCAGAGCAAGGTCAGGCCAGAGCAAGGTCAGTCCAGAGCAAGGCCAGGCCAGAGCAAGGTCAGGCCAGAGCAAGGTCAGCACAGAGCAGGGCCAGCACAGAGCAAGGTCAGTCCAGAGCAAGGTCAGGCCAGAGCAAGGTCAGTCCAGAGCAAGGTCAGTCCAGAGCAAGGTCAGGCCAGAGCAAGGTCAGCACAGAGCAAGGTCAGTCAGCACAGAGCAAGGTCAGTCAGCACAGAGCAAGGCCAGCACAGAGCAAGGTCAGCACAGAGCAAGGTCAGCACAGAGCAAGGCCAGGCCAGAGCAAGGCCAGTCAGCACAGAGCAAGGTCAGCACAGAGCAAGGTCAGCACAGAGCAAGGTCAGCACAGAGCAAGGTCAGCACAGAGCAAGGCCAGGCCAGAGCAAGGCCAGTCAGCACAGAGCAAGGTCAGCACAGAGCAAGGCCAGGCCAGAGCAAGGTCAGCACAGAGCAAGGCCAGCACAGAGCAAGGCCAGCACAGAGCAAGGTCAGCACAGAGCAAGGTCAGCACAGAGCAAGGTCAGTCAGCACAGAGCAAGGTCAGCACAGAGCAAGGTCAGCACAGAGCAAGGCCAGCACAGAGCAAGGCCAGTCAGCACAGAGCAAGGTCAGCACAGAGCAAGGCCAGCACAGAGCAAGGTCAGCACAGAGCAAGGCCAGCACAGAGCAAGGCCAGCACAGAGCAAGGTCAGCACAGAGCAAGGTCAGCACAGAGCAAGGTCAGCACAGAGCAAGGTCAGCACAGAGCAAGGCCAGTCAGCACAGAGCAAGGTCAGCACAGAGCAAGGTCAGCACAGAGCAAGGCCAGCACAGAGCAAGGCCAGTCAGCACAGAGCAAGGTCAGCACAGAGCAAGGCCAGCACAGAGCAAGGTCAGCACAGAGCAAGGCCAGCACAGAGCAAGGTCAGCACAGAGCAAGGCCAGCACAGAGCAAGGTCAGCACAGAGCAAGGTCAGCACAGAGCAAGGTCAGCACAGAGCAAGGTCAGCACAGAGCAAGGTCAGCACAGAGCAAGGCCAGCACAGAGCAAGGTCAGCACAGAGCAAGGTCAGCACAGAGCAAGGCCAGTCAGCACAGAGCAAGGTCAGCACAGAGCAAGGTCAGCACAGAGCAAGGTCAGCACAGAGCAAGGTCAGCACAGAGCAAGGCCAGCACAGAGCAAGGTCAGCACAGAGCAAGGCCAGGCCAGAGCAAGGTCAGCACAGAGCAAGGCCAGCACAGAGCAAGGTCAGCACAGAGCAAGGTCAGCACAGAGCAAGGTCAGCACAGAGCAAGGTCAGTCAGCACAGAGCAAGGTCAGCACAGAGCAAGGTCAGCACAGAGCAAGGTCAGCACAGAGCAAGGCCAGCACAGAGCAAGGTCAGTCAGCACAGAGCAAGGTCAGCACAGAGCAAGGTCAGCACAGAGCAAGGCCAGTCAGCACAGAGCAAGGCCAGTCAGCACAGAGCAAGGCCAGTCAGCACAGAGCAAGGTCAGCACAGAGCAAGGCCAGCACAGAGCAAGGCCAGTCAGCACAGAGCAAGGCCAGCACAGAGCAAGGTCAGCACAGAGCAAGGTCAGCACAGAGCAAGGCCAGCACAGAGCAAGGCCAGTCAGCACAGAGCAAGGCCAGCACAGAGCAAGGTCAGCACAGAGCAAGGTCAGCACAGAGCAAGGCCAGGCCAGAGCAAGGCCAGTCAGCACAGAGCAAGGTCAGCACAGAGCAAGGCCAGGCCAGAGCAAGGTCAGCACAGAGCAAGGTCAGCACAGAGCAAGGTCAGCACAGAGCAAGGCCAGGCCAGAGCAAGGTCAGTCAGCACAGAGCAAGGTCAGTCAGCACAGAGCAAGGTCAGCACAGAGCAAGGCCCGTCTCGGGCAGGTGCACACGGCCATCCCTGCAGAGAAGGCCCTGGCTCACAATGATGGAGAATGCTGGTGATGCCATTGCCAATCTCCCACAATGATCAGAATTCTGACCTTAAAGAAATTGCTGGAGTATTTAGTCTGAAATTGATTAAACGGCAAGGCATTTAAAATACTAGATATTTAAATTTAAATATTTTTTAAAACTTAATTTGAAACTTCTCTCTCCTCCCACTCCTGTGGGCGAGGAGACTGATTCACGCCTCAGACTTTTGTCTATCCTCATAACCATAGTAATCTTAAGAGTAGCAGAACAGATGACTTCTTATGAATGCCTTCCTTTAGCTCTCAAAAACCACCGTCCTTCATGTAACTGGTACCAGCTTTTACTAGTCAACAGCGGCTTCCTGAGATGGTGCCCACTTTAGCAATACTGTGCTGGGTGCCTGACTGTAGACATAGATTTGAATGCCAGACTCAGCTCTTTACCGGGTCCTTACAGCTAATCTACTTACCACTGTCACACAACGCTGCCTAAGAAATGCATTTATTTGCTTGCCTCCCACCTGCAATCTGGAGTTACATTTCAATTCATGATCTATTCTGAAACGTCAAATACTTCAATAAAGACTCAAGCTTCAAACTTGGAATCAAGAGGGAAAGACATGAATGCAGTTCAGCTCTCAAGCTAACTCTGTGTTGTCTCTTAAGACAAAATTTAAGATACGAGAACTCAATTTATGATTGTGCGAGTGGAAATGACTTGAAGAGCCTTTGGGGAAGAGTTTGAAGGCTTCCCTTTGAAAATTTTTGTTTCATTTCCCGAGAAAACACAAATCCCACTTTCTAATTTTCAGATCAGAGAATGTCATCAGTTGTCTGTTGATGAGAAGAAAAAGATATGCTTTCTAACTGCTCGTCAAATCGGGCACTGCCACTAATAAATTCTTACAAGGCTGCTGCTACTTTCATTCCAAGGACTCTCTCCTCTCTAACCAAAGGAAATGAACATGAGCATGCCTTTGATCTTGGTGTTCTAATGCTCTGAAAACACTCAGATTGCATATTCCCAAAATTCGGTGGCATCGCTTTGTTCCCACAGAGACGGCGTCCGAGAAGCGGTGGCCACGGCGTTCTGCGGGGTGAAGGGACTGCTCCCTGCGTTAAGGTTAATGCCGCCCTCTGTACCAGCTTTAATGGATGCCTAACTAGGATTCCTACATTTTCCTTATTTGCTCTTCACCCACCCATTTCCTCTAGACAGGGACCTCGATGTTATGATTGTTTCTCCTAAACAATCAGAAGAGCTGCGTGTGCAGCCCGCCCGCCCCGCGCCATGCCTTCGCACCGGCCACGCGGCCGACACAGGCCGTGGGCCTGCGGCTGCCTCCAGAGCCCACCCTTCTGCCTCGGTTGTTCCCCAAGGCACCTCGGCCTGGGTCACATCTAGGGCTTTACGGTCCCCCAGGCCAGCCTTTCCCTGGAGCGCCCCGTTCACAGTGCATTTCCCGTTCTGTTTCTCAAGTTCCTTTGTCCTGTTGCTTCTAGGCTTTTCTGGATCTCTCTAAGCCAGCTCTACGGTCAGTCCGGCTGGCGGCAAGGAGTTCGCTGTAGATTGAATTAACTTTATATTCCCTTTACCGTGTGGAAAGCACTGGGTTTCCCTCCCCTTCCATTGTTTCCACAGAAACCAAACCAGAAAGAGAAATGAAGGGGATACGAGCGAGACCACGGCACTCAGTGTTCTCCGCGCCCGCCTTTCCTTTCTTATTTCTCTGCCTTCTCCACTCGCCTCCTTTGACGGCACTGAGATCTGATTCTGCATGTTCTCTGCATGCACACGTTCCCAGAAAGGGCATTAGCGAGGGTCTCTGGGTAATGAGATACAAATTTAAGTACAAAATATATGACGATTCCTACCTCAGAAGATAAACATTTTAAAAAAGTCAATGTGGTCCTTCTGAAGTTTTCCCTTGGAGACCGCCTCTGCTCAGAGGTTGGGATTCCCTGGCACGTTCACTCCTTCCAGCACAATACAATTTTATTGCCTGCTTATCAATAGTGGGTGATGGCTGGCCCCAAAGAAGAGAATTATGACTGTTCACCTGAGTCATTGCTGGAGGAAAGAGGAAGACCTTGAAATATGCGTGTGGAATGCACCCCACGTTTTCACAGACACCTTGTCTTCGGGTTTGCATCTTGGGGTAAAAGATTCCAAGTGGCAGAAAAAGCCGCAGGGCTGCTGGGCCAGGTGGGCAGATGACCGCAGGGTGCTTACTTCACACGCAGGCTTCCCACAGAAGTGAAGAACGTATTTTTATCCTGTCTTTTCTAATCCACACTTTACACAGATTAGTCGGTTTTCGTGCACCTGACGTAATGGAGCCCCCGTTTCCAGATGCAGACCTGACATTTGTATGTGCAGAGCGCTCAAACCTCAGCCGGGACCGAGTCCATGGCAGGCTTAGCGCTGCCTACCGACTGTCCGCGTTCAGGTAACCAACGGGGTTCTTCCAGCAGCAGGAAGAAGGCCAGATGCGAGCTTGAAAAGTAAAGACCCAAGGAAAAAGCGACAGACTGCAAAACCCTATTTTAAGCTGGCATGCAAAAACACGTCACCTGCTTCCAGGCGGCTTCCGAAAACCAAGGTGGACACAGTGACTGTCCCTCCTAGAAGTAATGAACCAGGAGCCCGGACAGTGGTTCCAGCTGCAGGGCCAGCTCTTTGGGGGGCTCTGGTTAGAGGTCAGTCGGGGCACAAGAGTTCACGAGACTCCATGGAGGAGGCGTGCACACACAGGTTACCCGGGACCAGGTCCTGGCCCAGTGGCACAGGCCCCGCCCGCCCTCCCCCCCAGGCCCCACTCCCTCTTCCCCACCCCCACTGGAACACGGCCAAGGTCAGGGAGACAGGCCCAGCTCAACCATCGCCGACCCCACGTCAGCACGTATAAACGGGTGGGGATTGGAATTCAGCCCGACCTGGACAAAATCAAGACAGGAACGCAAACAGGAACACACAGCAAGCAGAGGTACGGTAGGGCGAGCTGGAAGCCTGGGTTTGAATCCAGGACTCACTGCCAAATGCACATATACCCGCACTTCATGCACACATGCGCGCGCGCGCACACACACACGTTCCATGCTCCTTTGGAATAGGAACATGTTGCAGGTTTAAAACAACACAAAACAGAAGCAGCCTTGCTGGCCCCCAAGGACCTCCTGCTGTTTCCCTCCTGTGTCCCATTGAGAATGTCTCATGCCTGTGCTTTAGGAAGCCCACAAACCACGGTGTGGGTCAGCCCCAGGCCCCCTGGCTGCATCAGGGAGGCTGGGCAGCCTCATGTCTCAGAGCTGTACATGTGTCTCACCGCTGTCTTGTGCTCATGTATTGAGTCAATCTCTGGCCAACAACAGGAGACTGGAGCTGGTGGTGTGGATATTACCACGCAGCTTCTCAGCCCTGTGGCCTTCCTACCCCCTGTCCCCAGCCCTGTCCCCTTCCTACCCCCTGTCCCCAGCCCTGTGGCCTTCCTAACCCCTGTCCCCAGCCCTGTGGCCTTCCTACCCCCTGTCCCCAGCCCTGTGGCCTTCCTACCCCCTGTCCCCAGCCCTGTGGCCTTCCTACCCCCTGTCCCCAGCCCTGTCCCCTTCCTACCCCCTGTCCCCAGCCCTGTCCCCTTCCTACCCCCTGTCCCCAGCCCTGTCCCCTTCCTACCCCCTGTCCCCAGCCCTGTGGCCTTCCTACCCCCTGTCCCCAGCCCTGTGGCCTTCCTACCCCCTGTCCCCAGCCCTGTCCCCTTCCTACCCCCTGTCCCCAGCCCTGTGGCCTTCCTACCCCCTGTCCCCAGCCCTGTCCCCTTCCTACCCCCTGTCCCCAGCCCTGTCCCCTTCCTACCCCCTGTCCCCAGCCCTGTCCCCTTCCTACCCCCTGTCCCCAGCCCTGTCCCCTTCCTACCTCCTGTCCCCAGCCCTGTCCCCTTCCTACCCCCTGTCCCCAGCCCTGTGGCCTTCCTACCCCCTGTCCCCAGCCCTGTGGCCTTCCTACCCCCTGTCCCCAGCCCTGTGGCCTTCCTACCCCCTGTCCCCAGCCCTGTGGCCTTCCTACCCCCTGTCCCGTGGATTTTATCTGTATTTTATCATAAAGGTGATCAATAGATGTGGTGATACCAAACAGAAAGCAGGGTGCCACAGCGCTGTCCCCGGGAAGCACCTGGCAGCAGCCCCGGGGGCACCGGGAGATGCCAGGGGCCGTGTGTGACCTGGCTCGGAGACACAGAAGTGGATTCAGAGAGGGAAAATAGATGCTTTATGCACGGAGCCACTGGGAGCTATGTTTAGTTCTTTGAAGTGTCCTCCCTCTCCTGACTGGTGGCCGATGGCCGACAGAGGGGCTCGGCCGTGCTAAATGCTGGGCTGGGACTGAGGAAGATGGGCTCTGGGTGGGGACTAGGGAGTGACATGCAGGTTGGAGTTACAGATTAAGCAATGGGTGTCTTCGGTGTAACTGCAAGCGATGGTTAAAAGCTCCACCGTGGAAGACAGCATCAGGAAAGGATCCTTCATGTTCTCAACTTTGAACAGACTAAAGAAATTCAAGAAAAACTTCAATGCTGACAAATCTATCTCCTCTAGTCAGTTACAAAACAACAACAACAGTTGGCTGTATAATTCTAAAACAAAATCTTACACAAAGCCATTGGTGAACGATAATGTTAAAGTACAAATGAACAGAATAAGTTGTGAAATTGTATTGAGAAACTGATTATTCATAAACATTTATGTTTTAAATTTTCCTCTAAAATAAGAAGTTAGTACTTTTCTTCCATCCACCCTACTACATAGCACAAACAAGAATGCACTTGATGTATTTAAGGACATCAGGAAAACGTGATCCCTCCACCTTAAGCAATACCGTCCTAATAGAAATTTGAGCCCTAAAATGGGAAAACACACATCCTTGTTCTTGAAAACTGTTTTTCGGCTAACTGGTCATCGAGTTTGTTTGCAGCCTGGAAGAGGAAAATGTTTAACTCTCACCCCAGGCAGCGGGCAGCCAGGCCAGCCCAGGCCTCGGACGGCCCCGCCAGGGCATCGGGTGGGACTGCGACCCACAGCGCCCCCTCCAGGACAGGACTGGACACAGCCAGGCTGGACACCAGACACGGAGCCCAGATCCGCACGGCGTGACGCATCTCATCCGCTGGTCTGGATGCACATAGCACAGAGGAGCGCAAGAAGAACGCGGAAAGCCCTGCGGAGGTGGGCACGGAGCGGGCACAGGGACCAGAGACCAGTTGTCATGCATCAGGCTGTGGACACACAGCAGATGGAAAGCAGAGGAGCACCCGGCCCACACGCCTGCCACTGCCCCTGCCCAGGGGCGGCAAAGGCGGCCGCAGGCTGCCTCCGGGCCACCAGGTTCTCCCTCTGCTTCCTGCACTGGACGTAGATGTTTAATACTTAGAGTTTCTTGATCCACCTGGAGTTGGTTTTGCACAGGTTCAGAATTCGAGGCTCAGTCTCCCTCTCCTGCCAGTGCATGCCCAGTTTTCACAGCTCCAATTCCTGAAAACCTGTCTTTCCACAATCGTATGTGCCTGGCTTATACACGGAAGATAGACCTAAAGGACATGCATATTCCTTGGGTACGTATATTACGTATACAGCGTATACAATATACGTATATATAATATACAACGTATGCAACATATAATGTATGTCTACAAGTAATATACATTATATATATATCACACACCTATCATAACTACCTAGCTAATTTATATGTGTGTGTGTGTATGACAGTGAGTGAGTGTGTGTGTGAGCGTGTGTGTGTCTGTCTTAAATGGACAGATCAATGGGGACTGACCTTCAAAGCAATAGTTTCCTTCATTGTCAGCCTTGGAAATGGAAGTCCAGGACATCATGAACCACTTTGCTTCTTTTCACTTATCTGCATAAACATGTGGAAAAGCCAAGAGTGTAAAAGCTCAATTTATTTCATCTATCAAAGTGCATCAGTGTCTTGTCTTTGATATCGTTCAGCCTCATATCTTTAATTTTATGAAAAGCACACCTAGGTTTAATTGCATCCAATTAAGATAAAATCAGGATATATTGTTGATGCTATTGACTTCATAAATTTAATGCTCAATTACAAAATGACTCCTCTCCACTGCCAAGCTCCAGACAACTGTTACCTCTCCCAAAATTTATTTGCAGAAGCTGCTTACATGATGAATCATGCCATACTTGATGAAGGTCAGATGTCTGTAGTTAATGCAATGTTTCCTGCAGGGTAATTTATGCATGCTGTCTTCCATTCTTCAGAACAAATTTCTACTACACATGCCCTTACCCTGAAGTGTCTCCAAATTTTTCAAAATAAGTACCTTGGATGAAGAAATTACTATAGGCATGGCTAAAAGAAATTATAATAGATTTCCCCAAATTGAAGTTTAGGTTTAAAAGTTGCTATTCATCATCACATAAACAAATAATACATTCTTATCTCAAAATCAAAACTTTAAGACACACCTTAAGTGTGTTAAATGGTAAATGGTATGACCCAGGGCTCCTCAGTAGGCTGAAATCTGAGGTCATGGTTCAATGCTAGCCTAGGCAGGAAAGTCTGTGAGACCATCTTAATCAAAAAACAAAACAAGGGGCTGGGAAGGTGGCTCAGTGGTAGAGCACTTGCCTTTGCATGCATGAGGCCCTGGGTTCGATTCCTCAGCACCACATAAGCAAAAAGAAAAAAGTTGGAAGTGGCGCTGTGGCTCAAGTGGTAGAGTGCTAGCCTTGAGCTGAAGAGCTGAGGGACAGCGCCCAGGCTCATAGTTCAGGCCCCACGACCGGACCAAAAAAAAAAGAAAAAGACCCAGAAGTGAAGCTATCACTCCAGTGGTAAAGCACCAGCCTTGAGAAAACAGAGCTCAAGGTCAGTGAGTCAAGGCCCTGAGGTCAAGCCCTATGACCAACACACACACACACACACACACACACACACACGTGCACACACACACAAACACACGCACCCCAAAAAAACAAGAAACAATTTCATCATATAAAACTAGTCAGACAGTATTTAAGCTACGAGCTGGAAGGGATTTCATGTTTGAAATAGGGAAAACAGATGGAGAACTCCAACATCCTCTAACGTATCTATTAAAATTTGCATTTTACAAGCAAATCTATGGAAGATGCAGGGTGAGAAGCCAGGTCTCGCAACTGCGCCCACCAAAGCAAACGTCAGTGCCGACCGCCGACGTGGAGGCGGCCCAGAGGCCTTGCTAAACACGGGCTCCAGAACAGACATGGGTTTTGTCAATTGAAAAACAAATATTTTAAAGGGCATTTTTGTGCTTGCTAGGAGATGGGATCGTAGGCTGGCATTCTCCCGTGAGCCGCATCGCCAGACTCCAGGAGCTGAGATTTAAGAAGTAAACCTTGAGTTAGAGGAAAGCTCTGGTGGGGTGGTAAGATGTTATATTACAGTTAGGATTTTGCAGGCTCTGTGGGTGTGTGTGTGTGTGTGTGTGTGTGTGTGTGTGTGTGTGTGTGTGTGTGTGTGTTCTAAAGACAGTGCTTCGACAATAGTGAAATAATTTCACACCAGAGATCAGCGGAGCCACTGCCAGGGCCTGCCTGCCTGCCGCATGGTGGCCCCGGACCTCACCCGGCCTGGACAGCTGTCAGCTATGGAAATTGGTGCTTGGGTACAATAGATAGACGCGTTCTTCTTCATTGATCCAATCTCACCGAAGTGAAGAAAAACTGTTACTGCAGTTATATTATAATCCCCAGGCGCTGGGTGAATGGACCGAAATGAAATCCCATTGAGCTAATTCAGTGGGCAAGCTGACTTCACTGACTTATCTTGGACATCTGGAACTGGGGTTGTAGCCGACGGGCCTAGTTAGACGGCTGGCTTGTGAAGGACACGTGAGTGTCAGAGTCACTGAGAATCAAAGATGAAGTCAGCCCAGGACTGTCTAGGATTCAGTGTGTACACCCTACACAGGACACATCTGTGAGTGTGAACACAAGTCCTGAAGGGTCCCGGGCGGGCAGAGCAACGCGGAGATCCAGGAAGCACCATGGGCTTTGCGGGTCTGGCCCAGCCAGTGCTGCCAGCCATTGGAGAGGAGCACTGTCCTGTGATGTTGGCATCACACACTGCACACGTGCCGCACATGAATCATGCATTACCACCACGCACCACACACACACCACACACGCACCACGCATGCACCATGCATTACCACACATGCACCACGCATGCACCACACACTGCACACGCACCACTCATGCACCATGCATTACCATGCACGCACCACGCATGCACCATGCATTACCACACATGCACCACACATTACCACCACACACTGCACACGTGCCACTCATGCACCATGCATTACCACACATGCACCACGCATGCACCACACACTGCACACGCACCACTCATGCACCATGCATTACCACGCATGCACCACGCATGCACCATGCATTACCACACATGCACCACACATTACCACCACACACTGCACACGCGCCGCTCATGCACCATGCATTACCACACATGTACCATGCACGTACCATGCATTATCACCACACACCACACACACACCATGCATTACCACCACGCACCATACATGCACCACACATACACTGCACATGCACCACACATTACCATGCATGCACCGCGCGCGCACCATGCATTACCACCACACACTGCACACACACCATGCATTACCACCACGCACCACACACGCACCGTGCATGCACTACACATTACCACACATGCACCATACACATACCACACATTACCACCACGCACCACACACGCACCGCACATTACCACCATGCACCACACACACGTATTACCACCACATACCACACACACCACGCATTACCACCACGCACACCACACAGGCACCACGCATTACCACCACGCACTGTGCATGCACCATGCATTACCACCATGCACCACGCACACCACACATGCACCACACATTATCACACATGCACCATGCACACCACACATGCACCACACATTGCCACCACACACAAAATATGTACCATGCACTACCACCATACACCACACATGCACCGCGCATGCACCACACACGCACCACACACGCACCATGCATTATCAC